AAAAAAAAAAGGAGAAAGAAGAAGGAAAAAAAGAAGAAGAAGAAGGAAAAAAAGAAGAAGAAGAAAAAGGAGACGAAGAAGAAGAGGAAGACGAAGAAGAAGAAGAAGAAGAGGAAGAAGAAGAAGAAGAAGAAGAGGGAAAGGCCGCAGACGGACACGAGACGAAGGTGAAAAAGATGAAGTTTTGATGTGTTGTTTTTTTTTTTTTTTACAGTGTTTGATTTGATCCATGTTGCTGTGATGGAACAAATCAAAGAGAAATAGAAACCAGATCATCGTCTGAGGCCCAGGAGTCTGATCTGAACTTTGGAGACCAGTGGAGCAGAAACTGTTCACAGTCTATTCTCATTACTCCACTGGGAGACGACCAGGAGTTTCAGACCCAAATCTGAAGCACAGAACTCTAACAGGTCAGAACTTCCTGTGTGACACCCGGGAACCATCAACCTGGAAGATTCTCTGAGGGGCAGCCGTGCAGAACAGGGCAGGAGATTTCACGCTCCAAATATTCCTTAAAATGTGACCAGTGATAATGAGAGGTTTGACAGAACAGAGAGAGAATCTGAAAAGTCTCCACCATAAATCAAAGTGACCTTTACTTCAACACCGCTGACCTTTGATCTTTTCAGTCCTTGTAGTACAAGGACTTTTTTGCACTTTTTTTGTTATTATTATATGTTATAATTTTGGTCATATTTAACTATGTGTAAATATTGTTTTTTGTCTCTTTTTTGTTCCTTTATGCCACTGTATTTTTTATACTTCTGGCTTTAATTGCATTTTAAATACTTTATTCTTTTATTTTGTCAAATTAAACTTTGTACATTTTTCCTCCTTTATCTCATTTTCGTTGCTGCTTCTTTGTAACTTTCTGACTTTCAGCCCCAGCAGCACATTCCACAAGTCCACAAATGTTCCTGAAAATGAGGTTTGTTATTTGTTAAATAGGTTCCAGACCACATTTTATTTATTGTTTTTATTCCCTGACAGACTCAGGAAGTCAATTATTTTTTGCTTACATCGGGGGGGCTGTTGGGGGGGGGGTCCACTGCACACAGGAGGGAGTTCCCTGTTCAAATGTCATGGCTCAGGAAGTTTTCCGTACAGTAATACTGTCTGCACCGGTGTGACCCACACCCCAGGACTGAGAGCTTCCTGTCCTTCAGTGAACCACTGACTGGAGGTCTGCGGCCCAGATGTGGAGCCCAGATGTGCAGCCCAGATGTGGAGCCCGACCAGGACCCGGCCCACACTGGTGCAGCTAAAGTGAGAGCAGTGACTCACAGCTAATGTAAACAGTCTGTGTGGATTTAATCGACGCACAGGCAGAGTTTTTTGGGTTTTTTTTTTTTACACTTCAGAGTTCCTGGTTGGTATTAGAGACCAACTGATTTGGTCCAGACAGAGGGACAAAGACTGTGGAGACGTTCTGTCACTACTGAGACAGAAACAGCTGTAGGGTTTCCTAGACTTTTTTCACTCCAAGTACTTGTACATGTATTAATAAGTAGAAGATTTTGTCTCTTCTTACCTTCACCAAGTGCTTGTTGACCCATTTTGTGAACGTCTTTTTCTGGACTCTGTCCCGTTCATCTGAGAGAAGACAGAGAAAACAAAAAGGTTTTAAATACTGAGTCAATCAATCAAATCAACATCAATCTGTTTTAGACCATTTGGACCAAAGGACAGCTACTGGACAGACAGGGTGGAGCTGGTTTGGACGTGTGCTGAGAAGAAAAAGTGGCGATGTGGGACCAAAGACACTGGACGTAAGACGAGAAGAACAGGAAGGAAGAGAAGTAAAAAAAAGAACAAGAAAGAACGATGGCGAAGAGCCTGAGAAACAAAACGATGACAGAAATATCCAAAAAAAATCAGGTGAGGCTGATTGACTGATGTCAAAAGTTGTTTCTTGACAGTCTCTAAATAAAAGTCCTGATCCTCTCAAAGGACGACTGACACTGAACATGATTTCTGTCCTGTGGGATTAAACAGATCCAAAACCACAAGGTTGGCCCAACATCCCATGATGCCCCTGGGGGAAATATCTGCAAATCTATTTATTTATTTATTAAGTGGAAAGTATTTTCCTTTCCCCAGAGTTGCAGACTTTAGCTGATAAATCTCTGAGAAAGTAAAACAGAATCCAACGCTCTACAGAAATCCACCTTCGGAGACTTGTCTTGTTCAACAGTGGAGCAGGTCACGGCTCAGGTGGATTCAGATCAACACCGTCGCTGCAGGAACAGGTTCAGTCCTGCAGGACTTCAGTGGTTTCACAGCTCCACCTGTTGATGTTTACTACCACAGCGGTGAACAAATCGTTTACAAAGGTGTGTGTGTGGAGGGGGTGGGGCTGAGGCTGATTGACTGATGTCAAAAGTTGTTTCTTTCCTGTCAGCATCAAATCTATGAGTCACAAAATCCGAGAGAAAAAAAAAACTAAAACCAGCCAGTCTGACGTGTCATGTCATCACCAGCAGATGACCGTGTTTCCAGGTTGACGACTCTTAACGTTACACGAGTGTGAAAAAAGGAAAACACACGAGCTAAAAAAAAACCTCTGATCCCTCTGACAAAGACTGTGTTTGATCGGCTTAGTTTTTGCAGCCTGCAGCTACAGACGGTTTTTCAGGCTCTGAGTCAGAAGTGTACGAGATGAGGTGTGAAATAATATCCAATGTCCAAGGTGTGTGTGTGTGTGTAAAAGTGTACAAACGTCTGTCAATGGTTTGACGTCAAAACACCTGAGGACAAACTTTTCTCATAATGAAGTGGAAAATGTTTTATCTTTTGACTTTAATGTTTATTTACTGCGAAACACGTGCCTCTATTCAAAGGGTTCTGTCAGGAAATATAAGATGAAATATTTGGTGCAAACTTCTTCAAAATGTTTCAGCTTTTAATGAAACAGATGTCAGAAATTAGCCAAAAAAAATGCTAAAGGTTTTCAAAATATATTAAATAAATGATCCATGGAACGATAGAGAAATGATCAAATATTACAATATGTACTGTGTAATGTACTGTTAATATGTGTAAACAGAATAGATCATATAAAATGCTAGTCAACTTTAGCCAAATCATGAAAAAGTAAAAATGTTAACTGTTAGCCAAAGGTAAAGAAGAAAAAGAGGTAAAAAGTTCAAAAGTAACACAAATAACACATTTACTTTAATATAATAACAAACAAACTCTTAAACTGAGACGACTGTGGTTAACCACAGATGACTGCATATATAACTGACATGTACAGATGCAAAAGAAGTTAGCAAAAATCAACATAACTAAATCAGGGATGGCTAAAAGTTAGCTTAGATTGGAAAAAAATGTAACCAATAAATAGACAACCAAAACAGGTAAAAGTAGGTATTTCAGCTAAAAAAAGGCCAAAGTTTAGTTATCATAATAAAACAATTCAAAAACAGGATTCTGAAAGATAAAATATAGATGTAGAAATATAGATGAGAGTTTCACAAGAGAAGTAGAAATAAAAGGCAGCGACATTTTCTGTGGACGCTGCTGACCAATACAAAGAGGAAGAGCTGTGACACACACAGAGCAGGGGTGTGGCCTGGTTTGATCAACGGGAGGCAGAGGAAGATGATGTTGACCGCAGACAACAGTGAATTCTCTGCAAGTTCAGACACTCGACTAACCCTCACGCTGTTCATGACTCCTGTCTCAGCAACAAAGGACCGTCACCGTGAAAAGTCACGGTCAAATCCAGAAGACAAACAAAACACAGACTGCAACGTGACGGCCACAGAACTCTACCTTTCCTGTAGTCCATGGCCCTGAGCCTCCCCTGGTAGTACGAGTCCTCCATGAAGACCCCGTCACTACCCAGGCTGTCAGAGGAGTAGTTCCTGAATCTGTGATCCATGGCCACAGAGCTGCTGCTGCTGCTGCTGCTGCTGCTGCTGCTGCTGCTGCTGCTCAGGTCTCAGTGAATCCCCCACAAACACAATTACAAACACCTACAAACAGTCTGCGCAGGTCTACACTAACACTCAACGTCTTAACTTGACTGTGTGGCTGCCTCTCAGAGAGGGTGGAGTGGGTGGAGTGTCAGGAGGAGAACACCACTCATACACTTTCTTTTTTTCTCAGCAGTTCTTGCAAAACGCCTGCCTGCGGGCGTCAATGTCAAGACTGTCGTTCAGCCGAGGGAGTTGATCTGCACACCACGCCCCGAACCCTGAAACCTCAGCAAAAGAGCCGCAGAGACACCAGGCAGAGACACCAGGCAGAGACACCAGGCAGAGACACCAGGCAGAGACACCACCTCTGATGGAGACCAGACAGAGACAACACCAGGCAGAGACACCAGGCAGAGACACCAGGCAGAGACACCAGGCAGAGACACCACCTCTGATGGAGACCAGAGGAGCGTGGAGGAGTTGAAAAACTTTCACTGTCATTTCACCTCAAACTCTGAACTCTGTTCAGCACTGCCTTAAGATTGCACCCCCTCCTGTTAAACGGCGTCCTGCTCAGATATTTCACTGCTGTTGTTTAATCTGAGGATATTTCTGTCCTCAGTTCATAACTTTTAGCTTTTGTTCTCAAATCCAGTTGAAGCCTCCTTAAAAACTCGTGGTCATGCTTTATATTTCCACCTAGTTCTGATCAAATACTCTGCGCTGCAAATTTACCCAAGGACAGTGAAGGCATCACTGGCTGTCCCTTTTTTCAATCAAAAAATCTTTTTTTTTATTTCATCAATTCAGGAACAACAGTTGTGCAGCTCGTGGTTCAAGGAGCCTGAAAACGCCAACGCACAGACACTGGTCACGTGACACACGACCTTCAGCTGAATCTGTGGACACTCCAGGACAGTGGACACAGTGGACACAGTGTCCTCGTCCAGTTTAATCACACACAGTCCAGAGAAATCCTGGAGCATGGAATCTCAGTGACAAAGCGAGGGTTTGGCTTCTCCACCAGGAAGACGGTGGGTGGTTCACTCCAACAGCCAGTAGCTCAGAAGCTCTGAGAAGTTCCTCACGAGAACACACAGTGGAGACAGACTTTGTTTTATTTGGAACATCTGGTTTGGGTTGGAACAATCCTTCTAAAGATACACTTCCCCAAAACGTTGCACAAAAGCTTCAGTCCGTTCTCTGCTGATGGAAAAAGGGAAGACTTGGCTTTGGAGGAAACTCTGAATGGAGTGACCACAGAGCTGCAGATAATTAACCCAGAACAACACAGCTATTGTGTGGACAACTAGAGACTGGACTGTGTGGACCCTTTCACACAGGAAAATACAAAAACACACAAGCATTGAGTGAATTCATCCTGCCGCCCCTGAACACCCGCAGCACCTTTCACCCTCAGGATCGTCAACTTTCTACGCAGATACTGACATACGGCTGTAAAAGGGAGAGGATTTTTGGGATGCCAAAAGAGGGAGGTGGCCTGTCGGGACTTGAGGAACTGAAGCTGCTGATGTTTCACCTTCACAACATCTGATCTGGAGAGATCTGGTGCAAACTGTGGATACTGATTCAAAGTTGAATATCTAAAGTCGGAGTGAAGGACACTGGGAAAATGTTGTAGTCACAGTGACTCCATGATTTCAGAAAAAAGTTGACAAAAACCATGATGAAGCAACAAAGAGTTGCCACTGAGGACGTCAACCATGACACTTCACAGAGTTCTAGTTTTAGAGCAGAGAAACTTTGCAAACTACATGTAAAGACTTTGTATTTTTCAACTTCCATGTAACAAGTCAAGGCTGAATCCTTTACTTTGACTCTACCAAAATAAAAAAACCAGTTGCTGTGACTCAGTGACCTTATCAACAAGGAACAAACAGCAGAGTTTTTCTTTTCTTCTCCTGTTTCTGATAAGACGCAGTGATTATCTCTGAGTTTCTCACTGGGTTTTACAGGGCTGTCAGGCAAACATGCAAGTCCCCACATTCCTGCCAAGGGTGCGCCCACCCTGCTCACAGACGGGGGGAGCCGCCCTTCTGCATTAATGCCCCCAACCCGACCCACCTCGACCCACCTCCCCCGAGAGAGAGAGAGAGAGAGAGAGAGAGAGAGAATGCTTCTTCTTCTTCTCTGCAAGTGACAGCACGCAGCTTCAAACCCTGCTGACAACAGGAATGTTGACCAACGATGGAGAATCATCTGGCTCCCAGGTCTGCTCCCTGATGGAGGATTTATGATGGAGCCGGGATGATGGAATGAGATGTTGGAGGAATGATGGAGCAGCCGCGGGCGTAATAAGACAGAGCCAACCTGATACTGGCAACAAAGACACTGAAGGCATGCACCCCGGGAGGAGGGAAAAAAAGAGAGGATTCCATCTGCTTTCTAAAGAGAAATGGATTCATTCCAGAAAGAAGGTCGAGCGTTGAAAGACAGAGGCAGGTGAACAAAACAAGGTGAAAGTTAAAGAGTCATTTACTGCCTGTTGACTGTGTTTAACACTCGCTCACTCATCGTAAAAACACACCGACGACTCTGCTGTTGCGCCCTTTTCTGTCGATGTTTATGAAAAAAAAAAAAACTAAACTAATTATTGTCACATGTTGTTTACACTTCATCTGCTGATGGGAGATGTGAGCAGCACTGGAT